GCCTCACCCCGCAAGTAAGCGCTGTAATGGGGGCTGACTGGGGAGGCTTCTCTGCAGGATGCTCAGTGGACATTGGTACTCAGTGGCCCTGCTTCTCGTTAGCTCGGTGAAAACCAGGAGATTCGGGCATCGCCTTCACACTAGAAAACATTCAGGCCCAGGTGCTGAGAGAGGGTCTTCAACCGGGTCCAGAAGGGCAGGTAGATTTTGTTTCTAAGCTTTTCAAACATTCAAGCAATCTACAAGCCCGAAGAGTAAAAGGGCGCCTCTGCGCTTCTTCCTGCAGCCTGTCAGCTCAATGTTAGCCACAGAAGAGGAGCAGCTGATTTCACAGCTAAACTCTTTTTGGAGAGAAACACGAGATGCTTTTTGGACATGTTAGCTGTATCCCCTTCCATACGTACTCCTGGAGGTCACCTCTGGCAACTGTTGAGAGTCAGTCCTTCCGGACTTCCAGGTTCAAACCTAGACTCTACCACCTAGCCGTGTGACCCCGGGAAAGTGATGTTTTTTTTGTACTTCTGCTGCCCCGTCTGTAAAATGGGGGTGAGAGTAGTACATTCCTCAAACGTGTGGGGATTAAGTGAATTAATTCATTCTTTTGAGTAGAAATTGCTCAGCGCTAGCTACCATGATGCATATTCATAAATAACTATTTTTCAGCAACATGTTTGTTTCTCAGTATGTCTTGGAGATCCTTGTCAGTGCCTCGCGCATCAAATTCCAAAACCACAGATGAACCATAAGCCATTTAATCAGTCTGCTGATGAGTGATGTTGAGCTTGTTTTCTTTGTGCATGCTTAGGAAAGACTCCCCAAAGCCAAATTCCAGGGTTAGAGAGTATAGAAATGTGTTTTAGGTGTTGCTTTTCAAAAGGCTGTAAGGTGGTAGCATTTGCAGTGACCAGTTTTGGTTTTTGTTTTTTGGGTTTGCTTTTTTTTTTTTTTTTTTTTTTTTACATTTTTCTTGTTGTTTGGATATGGAATTCATGTGGTGCAGAATTGAAAGGTTTACAGAGATACACAGTAATATTTTTTAAGGTGGGGAAAAAAGAATCGTATGAACAGTGAAAAGTCTTTTCTTTCCAGAAGGAAACTTTGCAGACTGGGAACATTTGCAGGCAGATTGAGGGTGCTGGTTCCAAGGTGGGATTGGTTTACTAGAGGTTGCGTGGTTTGCAAGTGGTAGAGGCTTAGCTGAGGGTCTGGCGGCCAGGGCCTCTGCACCTCAGCCCTACTAAGTTGCAGAACCACTCGGCGCCTTGGTTCCCAGGGAGACGGCTACATAGATGACCTAGGTGTTTCCCTTTGGAACAACTGATCCCTCCTTTTTGTTTTTCTAGGAGCCCTTTGGACTTATAAAATGTGGCCTTCTCTGACTGTGACTGTCCTGGGTCTCTGCCTCTTTTTAGCTG